AAAGTAGTTACCATAATGCCATAAAAATAGGAAACCAGTTCTGAAAAATCATTTTTGTCACATCCTGTAATCTCTTTATGATATTTTAAAGATCAAATTTCTTAGAGAAAAGGATACTTATACTCTGCTATCCCTTTCTGATCTCTTGACTGTATTCTGTATTCAGTAGTAGAGTTATTCTTAAGGCTCCAGATAAATAATTGTTTTCCTGATATTTTTCTGAAATATGCTATAAAATCCATTTGCAGAAGATGGTATTAGCCATAGAGGCTTTTGAGTTTCTGGTCACAAATTGATATTCTGAAGGCAATCACAATTATGAACAAAATAATAATGCATGCTTATCCCTAGATGGAGGAGTTCGTGCTTAAACACTTTCCTTTTTGCATGGCAGCTTTTAATTGCAGAAAGCAAGTCACTGAATTGATTGTCACTATTTAGATAGCGTGCTGTTCTTGTTGCTAAAGGTACTAGGATTGGTACGTATGTATTTGTTTATTTTTGCAGTGTTTCCAAAATGCACAATAAAATTCCTTCTAGCATTTCACATTTCATTAACCATTTTTTAAATATTTGCCCATTCTGGTTATTCTGGTATAACAGCAAATTGCTGTAAAGACAGGGCTAGAAATAGTGGGGAAATAAAAATATCTTTTGCTATCAGGACCTAACATTTGTGTATTACTTGTAATATAACAAGACTGAATAGCGTTTAAACAGGTTTGGAAATACCTTATGTTGGCCTTATGAACCCCGTATTCAGAAAATGATTCTTGTTCCAAAGAGCAGGTCTAATAATATGTTTAACATATTTGAAGTCTAAAACATATTAAAACAAAGCCTAAAATTTAAAGCCAAAATTAGCAGATTTGTGGTTTAAAAAGCTCAGTTTCTCTTATTCCAGCCTACCTTCATGTTTAGAGACATGAAGACAAATTATGTAACACACAATTAGTCTTTTTCTCTTAATCTCAGTATTAAGGACAATCCATTTTGAAGACTAGATCAAAGTTTAAATCATTAATATGAAGATAAACAAAATCACAAAAGTTTCCCCACGTTTCATAGAATGATTCACCATAACTTCACAAAGTGACCTACACACTTGGTAGGACTATTCCCCTTTTTAGCTGGAGGGTTACCTGTCAATATCACACCTATTCCACCTTCAATTTTGATAGGAGCACTGAAACCCAAAAAACCAAAGAGCACAGCTGAACACCACCACACATCAAAAAACAATAAAAAAGAAAAAGTAGAAAATAAACCAGAAAACAAAGTATGATACAAGAAATTATATGTATGATATATATGATATTATATGATTGATATGATATGATATGATATATGATTGATATGATACGATACTCCGGACTGAGTATCTCTGGTACCTATGTGCTATATAGTACAGTCTAGAGAACCACTGACTTATGTGGATTTTCTGAATACATTTTTGGAGACGGAATACATTGCTTTAGGGATTTCACTTTGTCCAAATACCTGAAAGTTCATAGAATGTCCAGTAATCTTTACAAGTTTGGATTTATTTTTGTGGTGGAGAAAGCTAATGATTTCATGTTGCATAATCAGACAGAGAACGTTCATGGTCTGGTTCAGTAACTAAGAGAAAGCTTTTGTTATTTCTATTGTTTACGTTAACATTAATACTTCCATCAACACTTAAGTGAGCATTTATTTAACACTGAATTCCTGTCTTTCATTGAGAGGAACAAGAAAAAGATATACCTTAATTAAAAGGAGGATGGACTGACATGAAAATGGTGGGCCCTCAGCTGTGTGGAGGGATATGAATTGCACTCATTAAAATAGAATGCTGATAAGGACAGGCTATAAATCTGCAGATGGGTTGCCCCTAAGATCTGCAATGGGTTTTAGAAAGGATTTAGCATTTAAAGCAAACAACTGACAATAAAGGCAGTGACCGTTTTGCTTTCCACAGTGTATAGGAGGAGGACATGTTTCTTCAGACAGCTAAAGACAAAAGTGACCTTCTTTACTGCAAATATATGCCTAGACTTAGAAATACCTGCATTTCAATCATTTTCAGGCAAAGTAAGTATCATTAAACAGATAATATAGTTTGATTATAACATGAATACAGCAAGAAAGAAAAGGACAGAAATGACTGCTGAAATACGACATTTTAAAAAGGGTAACTTTCAGAAATAGTGCTTGTTGTATTTGAAAACTGAGTAGTTTAAGCTCATTTTGCATGAAACAAAGGCTCAAAATGAAAGCTTATAGCACATCTCCTTATCAGGCACTCTTTTCTTGATTCAGAATTGTAGGAGAGCTGTAAAAACAAAGCCTCTTTCAGAAGTACTTCCTAAAGGTGCAAGTGATGTAATAACCCTCAACCAGACAAACTCACATTTTAATGTAGGCTGAGGGTACAATGTAGAATTATATCATAAGTCAACAGAGACCTAACCAAGATGAAAAGGAGAACAAGCCTCTCTGCCTGTACACATCACAGAGTTGTAGAGCTGCTACTGCAGATAGACAAGCACAGAACTAAGAGAAAACAAAAAAGGGAAGAATTGAAAGTAGAGCAAAAGAGGTCATAATACAAAGGAATGTGGGAGCCAGATGAGCAATTTGCTGAGTGGCAGAGAAGGGAGGCAAGCACTGAAGAGAAGAGGGAGGATAAATCCAATTAGCATGCTGGTTTTGACAAAACATTCCAGCATCCCGAAGAATATGTTTCTCTCTAAGAAGTCTTTTTTTGCACAGCCTCACAACTGAAGAAGAAAGTGACAAGGAAAATAAAATATGATTCAGTAAAAGGAGAAAAAAGAACAGGAAACACTAGATAAAATAAAACTGCAATTATATGTGCTGCACTCAGTTTAAAATATTTTAAAAATAATCAATAGAAACAATAGTTACTTTCATGGCCTCCATAACTACTAATCATATAACTTAAAGAATTCTAGTAACGATGCTGATAGTAATTGCAGTAGCATTACAGACCCAAAATAACGGAGGTGATATTTTTCTGTTGTAATGCAAAGTAACACTTGCCATTTCTGTTGAACAGAATCAATTCCATTGGAGATTATTTGTTCCTTTGAGTCGATTATTATACAATCATAATCATTTTACAAATACTAAATATCAAAGCGTATTATTAAAGAAAATCACCCCCTTCTATAGAACTACTGAAGATGTAGTCCTGAATGGATAAAGTTCCATCGTGGATGACTTTAAATTTTTAATTATGTAAATACATGATATTTTTTTATGCAAAGAATGTTTTCTTTAAATTTGGCAGTAATATTACTGTGACTTTTAAAAAATTATCCCAAACAGTTATTTGGATAAATAATTGCTGCTTTGAAATACATACAAACAGAAGAGTTGCACAGTAGAAGAATGAGCCAATTACTGCTCCTCAGAACACCCAAAAAAAGCTGCAAAATCATTACTTTTTTGGGTCTTTATGGTTACCCGTGCTGACAATGTGGCCAGTGTAAATACATCTGCTCATTTGGCGCTCAGTTTAACCCTTCTGTCTAAAACAGTTTGGAAATGTATTATTGGTTCGTGGTGAGTGAAGAATGAAAATTTCTTGTTACAGTTCTAAGAATTAAAGTGATCCAAAGTTCATGTTCAAACTTCATGGTCGAATTTTAATCTATGAAGAACACCATAAAAGTAGCCAAATAAAAAGAGAAGAGCCCTTCGAAAAATTTGCACAACTACTTAAGTAAACTCACACAATCAGTTCAATTTTCTTATTATTAATTTGTTCAGTTAGCTTGCAATCCAGTAACAAATAACAGAATGGTACTGAAGTATACTGGAGCAGAAAAACTACACCAGAAACAAAAGTTTCTCTGTAATGAAACGCCATGTTGTGCTAAGGAGCATGTTAACCATTACTCCTGACTCCTAGTATGGTAATATAAGGGGGGTTACCTATGGCAGGAAGAGGTGATGCAAATATCCTGGCAAAAAACCTGAGATTAGCATTCTACTTGGGCTCTGGTACTTCTGTTCAGGAGTAAAGCAGACCCGCTTCCTGTTCTGCAAATATGTTTCTTGTCCAACAGTACATCTGGATATTATTCAACAACCCTACTATCAAGCACATTTCTCCATTCTATATAAAGTCTCAGAACAAAGATTGCTCACTGCTGTAAGTTGATATACAGTAAAAGAGAAACTCACAAAGTTGATAAAGAGCCAAATTGGGAGTTTCATCCTTTTGGGGAAAAGATTATGTGGAAATCTGCGCACATAAAAACTGTTCTAATTTACTCATCTATTAGTTTCCACAGGGGTATTTGGAACACATCAGTAAAATTTGTTAAAGGATTTTATTATAAAGTCAGCAGTGATAAAGGGTTTTAAATGTATGATGAGCAATGTAGGTCAGCAGAAATTCTCTTTTCCACTTGAATAAATGTGACCTATATGTAAAAGAGCTGAGCGATGCTTCCATTTAACCTATCTGAATACATGCATTCTTTCAGATTCTTGGAAGGAAGAGAAAGAAATGACATAACATCTGGATTTTTCAGAGTAAAACTCAACTGGTATCACCAAAGAGCTAGTCAAAATATTATAATTGTAAGCTTTCCCAATCTTGGGACAACTTGTCCTGAAAAGTCTACATACAAACCGCAAGAAAATACAGAAATCATATTTGAAAATTACAGCCATTTTTTTTATTATTATTTCTTGTAAGAGACATCTTTAGCAGAGAAAGCATAGCTCAATGAGCATAACTCAAGTAGACTGCAAACACAGCTAAATACTTTCATGCCCTGCCTTGCAATTTTACATCTCTGTAGGCTATTCAGACCAACCTTTTAGCAAGAGCTTGTGAAAGTTGTGGGTTGCCCAATTCAGATCACAGCTTCATCTGTCTTCCAGTCTGCCCTCCGCATAGTCACCACTTGTGACTATTATAAGAGCCAATTATTCTTTTCATTTTCTTAAGAAATGTGTTCACATCCATGTTCTGATGTTTTCCTTTCTCTCCTCTGCACAGAAAGTGGGGAGGCAACCCTAGAAGCCAAACAGATGCACAGGAAATGGCATTTGGCTGTTCAGGATAGTTCACAAACTTCTCAGTAACTTGGGTATTACATTTTGGAACAATTAATGCGGAGCATCATATACTCTGCATGTGGCTGCCTCTCACCAGAATTTGGGATTGTAGTGCTTTTCTCCTGCTATAGAAGGTTTTATCATTTTCTCTAAGAAGAATGTTTCTAAACTCTACAAATGCATTTCATGTTTCTTAAAGAAATATATAGTTTAAATTTAGCTAATTAAAGAGACATATATAAAACACTCTCAGTGGGTAAAAGATTTCCACTCTGCTCAATAGCACAGAGAGATTGTACCTGACAATTATAAAATGTGTGATTTGAAAAAAAACTTGTTTAATCAAATAATAAAAAAATACTCATTGCTGTTCTATTTTCATTTGCGTGTTTCCTTGAGAAAAACACTACCGTTTCTTTACAGTGCCTCAAATTTCTCTGAACTTAAAAATGCATCCCATCTTGTCAACATGCACTCATTCGTCCAGTTTTCCCCAAGTGTATTTGAATGCAAAGCACAACTTTCCCTGCAGTGCTGAGTGTGGCAAAAAGTACATCCATTAACCTGGTGGCTAAGAATATTTGTAATTTCTTTTGTTTCTGTTGACAAGCTTCTTATCAGTTTTTCTGTCTGAGATTCTTTGCAAAGTACTCTTTGTTCTTTTCAGTTTTGATCCCTCCTTTAAATTCTAGTATTATTGCTTTTCTGACAGCTAATCTCAATTTCCCTTTAAGTGCAAGGACACATCCATTTGCTGTCAGAGAATTCTCCTCCACAGCTCGTTACACCTTCCCATTTAGCATCTTCTAATACACCAAAATCTGAATTATATTATTTTAACCATTGCTTTCATCTACACTTTTCATTACTTGTTTTACAGACTAGTGACCAAAAGACAATGTGGGTTTTTGGCTAACTCTGATCCAGCAGCTCAGTTTGCACTGACTGTGTGCTTAATGTATAGTCTGCAAACCAAAGAGAGGAAGAAACATCCTTACATGTACTGGGAGCACTCACCAAGTAGTCCAGCAAGTAAACACAGTCAGACAGAACCAGATTTTCAGACTGCAGACATATTCTTTACCCTGCAAAACATTGCAGATGTCACAGAAGAGGCAAAAAAATAATTATAAAAAACAGAAGCATGAGAATATGATTCAAATTTCTTGAATTCCAGTTCACTTTTCCAGCTACCAGCAAGCATTTCTCCTACCCTTTTACCTCTAATAAAGTGTTCAAGAGCACTCCTGTGCAGAGTGCCAAGATATTACTTAGAAACTGTATCTGTTCATATTTTGGTCTGAAAGCAGAATGTTCTTGAAGAGATTAGACCACAACACCTGTCATTTCCATTCATTGTGACACAGTACAATGTTATAAATATTTTTTTAGTAGCACATCAGGCCATTTGCTGACTCTCGTTTGTCTGTGAGTCTCTCTGTTAAAATCACAGCACTGAGATAAGCATACAGTGCTTTTACCATCTGAACTGCAACAGGAAGACTACACTAGCATAACGACATGTCCTACTGTAGATTTTAGGTGATAGGCTGATTTCTTTAAAACAAATAGTATCTATCTTTCATCAATCGTTTTATATCCTTCTACTTCTAACAGCGCAGAAATAAAAATTGCTACCAACACTTAGTTGATATTTGATATATTTTTTGATATATTCATTTATGCTAAACTCATTTAGTCCCATCTTTGTAGCCAAAATAATAAGTGTTTGATCACAGACTTTCAGGTAATTTTTGTGGCCAGTGATATACAAAGACAGCAATGCCGGTGGCTAATTTAGCAAAAAAGTTTGCTTATTTTTAATGTTTCCATTTAATAAACACTTCCCTGTTTTAAAGACATTTCTGTTATCTTGTATTTCAAGTAGTTATTTTGTTACATACCTGTTAATGCAAGAATAAGTGCGTAATAGTAACATTAACAAATACTTCGAGTTGAATTTCCCATGGTAACTTCCATCTGTTACCTCTTGTGCTTATGTTCTCTAGTTTTTACATTCTTAACATCCTCTTTCTATTATTTTATCTACCAACAGCAAGTAAATAAAAAGAGAAAAATTATAATTATTTCTATATTCAGGCACTAAAAACTGTGGTAGGAAAGCTGAACACACACACACACATCTTTTGAAATAAACAACATCTCTCATAACATACTCAGTATGTCAAGTTAAAATGAACTATTTTGCTGAAAGCCAGATTAAGACAATGGCTTCTGTTATTGCTGACATGATATTTTATGGCAGCTCTAGGTTCTTAAAAGAGTAGAGAATATTTCCTCTTATCAGTCTTCAGCAGAACTGAAGTGTTACACTGTAGGGGACATGCCACGCTTTCTCTTTTTTTTTTCTCTGAGAAACAGGAGGGTAAAAAGACAAGCAGAAATGGTTCAGTAAGCATGAAGAGCCATGGACAAGGCTTCTGGGGACTCTCAGGTGCTTTGGTATCCAAGAAATGGCTAGCGAGGTTTAATCCCACATGAGGATGTCAGACTTCAGAATCACAACTGTTTTTAGGTCCTGGTCGAAAGCAAACTTAGGCAAATGGGTAACAAGGCCAGGCTGGATGGGATGCTGAGCAACCTCATCTAGTGTGAGGTGTCCCTTCCCATGGCAGGGGGTTTGAAACTGGATGATCTTTAAGGTCCCTTCCAATCAAAACCATTCTAGGCTTCTGTGATTCTAACTTCAGTGGGATTACTCTAAAGTCAAGAAGATGCATAAAACACTGAAAGACCAAGGTTTCTACTGTAAAGGAAGAACTATTTCAGCATGTGTGCTTATATGGTGATAGTACAGTGGAACTCCCATCCTAATTTCTTGGGTGTTCCCTCTACAAAAATTGCTATAACCTTTTTAATATTTAATCAGCTAACACTCCATTCATTTAAGGAATGAAAAAGATTCACCTGCTTGCTAAAAGAAAGTATAAATCTACATATCTTGAGATGTATAAAATCTTGAAGGAATTTTTAAGTGATTTTCTCCAATGGTATGAAAATTGCTAAATAGCATACCTTCCTTATTAGTCTTATGTGATCATTATGTGATCATTAACAAGAGAGAAATGAAAGAAAAACAAAACAAGAATGTAAGAAAAAGAGGGAAAAAATAAAAGAAGAATGGTCCTGGTTGAATATGGGGTGCTCATTTTTAAGTCCACAAAACAATTGAAAGGGAAAAGAAATTAACAGAAAGAAGAAGTAAAGACAGGGAAATCAACAGCCTTTCTGTATTTATTTTCTGATTTTGCAAATGAAAGTCTTTCCACTACTGTCATCTAATTTTTAAGCTGCATTAAAAAAAAAAAAAAAAAGCAGATGGAAAATATCTGAAGAAAATATGGAAAATTCCAAACAAAGAAAAGTTACCAGTAGCACGGGACAAGCAGTTTCTGAAAATGCATGAAAATCTTGTACCAGGCCCACAAGCAGTTTAAAAAAATAGTTTCCTTAGTACTTAGCTCACTGTATTAGATCTTTCCTTGGAAATGTCTGGGAGTTCCTACAGACTCTGTAGGAAGATAAGAAAACTCGAATGACATTTATATGCTTTCCTGTTCTCAGTTGAGAGTTATTTTGTACTTGCATTTGAGGAAAAGTTGCTATGATGGCATATTACATTATTATTAATCTAATGATCATAGAATGGAATGACAGAAGTTTTACCTACTTTTATGTATGTTCAAAACTGTTTACTAATCCCTCATTATCACAGTTCTAACAGAACAGCTTAAACACTCTATCTTTACTTCATGGATCTTCATGAATAAATTACACTTGAAGGTCTTACTCTACATCCTTCTAAGTCAGGTATAAAGTTTTCATTTATTGCAGTGGCATGCTCTGTGAACATCTCTATGATAACCAGAACATAAGACGTGTATTTTTCAGAGGTACTTAAGTGACTTTTGCGCTCAGTGAAAATGTAATTTTCAAATAACTTTAAAGAGTAGGGGAAACTTGGAGTTCATTGCTTAAACCAGGATTGTTCTCATAAGCAAACATCTGGAAAAGCAAAAAAAGCTTTAACTTTCAGAAAGTTGTCAGCACCATGTCAGCATCATTTGCCATGCTTTATGACACCACCCATTTCCAGGGACTATACTGAAAACTAATTTCTGCCTTTCATAGTACATTAATTATGGGAGTGCATTTTATAATTCCTTTGGTATAAAAGGTTCTCCTCTTCAAGTGTACCAGTGAACTAAATGGTGTTGACATTCCAATACATGGTGTATTTCTTTAATGGCAAATTTCCATCAGTGCATTTACAGCAATACAGCATAAAGGGGGAAAAAAATAGTTATAGTATGACATACATTTCTGACTCTAGCCTTCTTTATTTCCACCAAGGTACACTTGAACAGCCTGTTCTTCATTGTAATAAATTGTCCAGATTCACAAGACTGGATCTATTGTATCTGAATTGTTGCTTACACTTCTGAAAAATGATGAGGGTAATAGCAATAGGTTGATTTTAATGGTATAATCAAGCTCTGCAACACAAAAAGAACATTGTTTCATACAGTTTTGAATTGCATAGTTCATATACAGCCAAATCTTCTTCAGTCAAAAGGATGATGACTTTGAAGAGGGGCACACAGATGAGTTCAGGAGTGAAGAGGTATTGAACACCATGAGGCAATGACAAGGGCAATACAGCCTGCAAACTTTCTATTACAAACTTCCCATACTTTCTTAGACAGTTTTCAGAAAAGTTAATATCTCATCATTAAGGGTGTGCTTAGTAGGTGCACCATCAGGAGGGAAGTATGTTTCCAATTTGGAGTATGACAGGTACGGTGACAGACGCAGCTGCGTGTCATTGGTGAGGGAAGGCAAAAGTAACAATGTCCAAATGAAGAACTTCCCTTAGGTGAAGCAAAAATGCAAAATTTTACATTAATATTGTAAATTACTTCTGTCAGGAAGTTTGGTTCAGAAAAAGAACCTTAACAGTTTGGGTTTATACGTGCTTTCAATAAATTGACACAAAATTTATTTGAAAAGAGTACAGGCCAGGAAAATTTTCAGTTAAAAAGTTTTCACATTTTACAATTTGATACTAATGAAATGAAATTGTATTTTCTCAACAAAAATAGAGTGTTCTGTTTATGGTATGACACAGGGATTAATTCTTTAACCCTATATATTTTTAAAAATACTTCTTGAACAAAGGTTTTTGAAAGGGCCTGTTGTTTTGAGAAGCATCTCTGGCACAAATTACCGCAGCAAAAGAGCTTGTCAAAACAGAAAAGATGGGCATTTTCAAAAATATCCATACATTTGGTAAACAGCCAAATGTTGAATTTCACAGAAAACTATTGATATTATTTTGCTTTTTGTTTGGTTCCAAAACTAAATTTGAGCGAGAAGAAAGCAGAGAAAGATATTAGTACATTTTTCATTTCCCTCTTTAGAAATTGAGGAGGAAGAAGAAACAATTTTCCCTGCCACTTTCAGAAGCTGTACACATTTTTGCATAATACCATTCATTATCTCCCAGACTGGTGGTCAAATTTTTAAAATATTTAATAGAAATCTTATAAATATTTATTGCATGCAAAGCATAATGTTTACAGACAAAATTCAAAATATTTAGTTGGAGACCTTCTAAGTTCTATCTATTTCTGAAAGAGAACTTGTGAGCATATTTTGTTTTTTATGTTACCCAATTAAAAGTGTAGAGGGAAAAAACCCAACTATGATGTAATCTTAAATAAGCTCATTTTAATATTAATGGGCCTTATACATGTGTCCTTCTTTGACATAATGTAAAAAATAAACTTAAAAACTCTAATAATCTAATACAAATACTGAAGGCAAACAGTGGGAAATGCCTGATTATGTATTGTATACTGCATGTATGAATGATAGTGCTATCTTAGAAAAGAGGAAGACCTATGTAATTTCTCACAGGTGGTATTACTTCTCTGTCCTCGCTGATATTCAACACTGCTGCAATTCAGATTTGAAGTTAGGTATATGCTTAAGTAATGTATTGAATGTCTTTCATACTATATACTTGTTTGACTTCACTTGTACTTTTCTTTATCTCATAGCA